CATGATCAGACAAATCGTATGAGCGAGCCAATGAGCCATGGAATCCTCGTTTGAGAGGTACTTCCGTTTATAATGTTTCAGGCATAAGTCTTCGAATGAAGAGCATGACGGAGGCTTATTCAGCTTTTCTATACCATTGTTGGCTTCAATGGTTTCTCAGCTTCTTGATAGTTAAGTGGAGATTTACATCTTGTACCTCACATAAAGTGGTTTATATTAGAAACGTCCAAATCAGGAAAATCAAACTTGTGACGGTTCGACAATCCACTGAATGGAGGGAATAAGATTGTGAATAGTGCTATAAGAAATAAAATATCCATAAGCATCAAAGTTAGATCATTCGAGTTCTAAGACATGGTTTTCATGAAAAAAAAAACGTCTGGTTTTCATGGGTGTATTTGTTTTATGAAAACTTCGGGTTCAAAGGCACTAAATTTGAAACTACAGGTTCAATTTAGTTTATGAACGTTTAGTTCATAAAAAGAGGGGTATCTGCAAGAACATAGAAGACAATAAACAATAAAGTGTAGTGAATTTGTGGATTACTTCAAGAACCCAAGTGTGAGTGCATCGGGATTATGAAAGATAGTCAACGATTCAAAGAAACAAAATAATTTATTAAATTGTTAATTGCCAAAAAGTGAACTTTAGGTCAATAATTTTGGATTAATTATCAGATTAATGGATAACTGGTCACTTTAATTAATTCAATAGATCGTAACCATTCAGGTTTAATCATAGAAGCAAAAATAATAATAACATTTGAGTTAAAACTATAGCCCAATTTGATGGGCTTAGGCACCATGTGGGGGGTAAGGCCCCAAAAGGGGTTTAATGGGTTACGGGTTGGCTGCAGAGCAACCCAATCATGGATGCAAGCCATAGGCTGTGTGTATGGGACAGGCCCAGTAGCAGAGCTGCTGGTGTGTGGGCCACAAAAGGCGCGGGTACATAGGCCTAACATGGAGCTGGCCTAGGATGAGTGTGTGCAAAGCCCAGCGAGGGCTGGCTTCGTTGTGGGCTGGTTGTAGGCAAGCCCAGCCACATAGGCTGGCTTTGGTGATCGCAGGCCAAGACAGATGGCGAGCCCAACAAGCAAAGGTTGCTGTAAACCAGTCGGGTCGCGTGTAGGCAAAGCCCAACAAGAAAAACTTGATGGCTTGATGGGCTGAGACAAGGACAGAGCACAACAAAGGCTTGTTGGCCTGCTTGAGTGGTCAGGGCTTTGGACCCGTGCATAAACCAACCCAGGCCGAGGCCTGGTTGCAATGCAATGATAGCAAGCCCATGGGACTGCTACGAGAGGTCCATGGCGTCAAAATGGCACTGTCCTAGCTATGGCGTGGCTTGGCAGTGTGGCATAAAGCCACGGCTCAGCCGTGAAAAATCCTAGGTTTTTTTTTTAATTCTAGGGTTAAAAACCCTAATCGCTTCTAAATTAATTTCGATACTTTGACTCACAAATTTCACATAACATAATTGCACATTGCATGAACAAATATATATATATTGACAAAATATATGAACACATATGCAATATCAATATATATATATATATATATATAATTGAAAGGAAAATATAAATATAGGGGCTTCATGCATCATGAGGAATGTTTTCATGCTTCAAGGTCATTTCAAATATCTTAATTTATTTTAAAAGAACCTAATTGGCAGAAAATAATTGAAAGCCTTAGTTGTAGAAGAAAGCTTCCTTCACAATCCTTCAGTTCCTTAACTTCTGGCAAGAGCATGCTGATAAGGTATTAAAGGCATAATTTACTGAACAATTATGGAGGCCATAAAGAGAGAGAGAGGGTGCAACACATATAAAGAATCATGATACTTAAAAGCATTTAAAATAAACAAAAATTACAAAATATGCCAATACAGCTGGTACCCACTTCAACTAACACTCAATTTCTCATAATTTCATATTTTGAAATAAATCAATACGGATCAAACACTGCGTTGCAGTCTCCATTTATTGATTTCGTTTTTTCCATCACTCACACGCTTCCTGCATGTTCCTTTGTACATTTGGATTCAGACACTACAAAGTAGTGTCCGTTTCCTAGTTCAATTTTTTACTTTTGGATTCAGGTGCGCTACAATGTTCTTTTCCTAGCTAGTTATATTTTTCCATCACTCACACGTGACCTACACTTCATATCTCGCTCGACTCCTAATTTTTACATTTAGATTCAAACACTATAATACAATGTTTGTTTCTTGGCTCTATTTTTTACATTTAGACTCAAACACTATAATGCAGTGTCAGTTTCCTAGTTCTATTTTTTACATTTGGATTCAGGCATTGCAATGTAGTGTCGTTTCTTGTTTTTTTTTTTTTTTTTTCTTTTGAGTTAAGCAGACTCCGCCATGTAAACAAAGGATAGTGATAGAATATACATGTTCTAACTATTTATAGGATTCAGATCCTCTTAAGATTAGTTCCTTAAGGATAGAAATCCAACAGCCAAAGCCTTTTCGCCCTCAACTCCTCTTTCTCCCTTGCACCGCCACACCCCACCGCTATTAACAAACCCCAAATTCAATTGCAGATCATCTGTGCTTTAAGTCTGATTTATTTTTTGCTATCCCTTACTATTTTAGCTTTTTATTTGTCATCTCTTTCATCTTTTTCATCTTTGAGATTCCTCTCTATAATTCTTCCATAGTTATGGAAAAGATCTCTGCAACCAGAAGACACTGGTTTGCACGACCCCTCTGTTTGTTGTTTCATTAACGTCTCCTGAGATTTTAAGGTTAGGGACTTGTAATTTAAGGATGTGGCAGTGCTGGGGCTGATTTTGGATAGGGTAAGGTAAGGAACCTGCAATTAAGGGTTATGGGTTGGGTGGGTTGTGGTGATGTTGGGGTTGATTTTGAGGTGGGGTTGATTTAATTTGGAATTGGGGGAATGGTAGTTCAAGGTTGAGAGCTTCAAAGTGAGGGAGAAATAGAAGAGTTGAGGGGAAAAGGGGAAAGATAAGAGATTTTGGCCATTGGATTTGTGTCAATGGATAAGATATCGGCTTGGTGGAGGATTCCCACAAAATTGATCCAGAGAGGATCTAAATCCGTATTTCTAACAGCTTAAGCCCATATGACATTCAAAGAGAGAGAAGGATATAAGAATCAAAGTCTAACTATTTATAATGACTTAAAGCCTATCTACCATTCATCATTGACCTATGCCTGATTAATAAAACTATATAATTTGATAAATGGCTTAATAGTAAAGTTTTTATTGACTTTTGACTAAATTACCTTTGAGTTAATGTACCTAAATGTATGTACCGAAATGAATATACTAAATATATTAAATGAATTAATGTACTTAAATGAAAATGACAAAGTATATCAAAATATAATGTATAACACAAATTAGTTTATCGAAATGTTTAAAACAAAATATATTATGATGAATGAAATGAAAATGAAAATTATAATGAAATATAATTAATACATTAAAATTAAGAAGAAAAAAATAAATAATTGAAACATCAAGATATAATTAATAAATGACGTCAAGTACCAGCAATTGATGACAGACGGACTTCTTTAAATTATCACTAAACAGAAGTCCAACCATCAATCCCACATCATATAATTTACACAAGATAGTCCACAATGATAGTCTCCACTAATATTTTACTTTCTATTTAGTCGGTTACAAAACACAGACGGAATCTATTAAAATCCAGAATGAAACTCCAACATGACAAATCTGTGTAAATTTATAGTCTAATAAAAGCTTTATATAGACGATGTAGGAAAAAGAAAATGAAAATTAGGAAATTGGGTAAATTACATTTTACCCCCTCAGGTTTGGGATCAATTTCAATTCTTTACAACATCTTTAAAAGAATTTAATTTCATACATTTACATATCATCTTATTTCAATTTCATACATCCATTAGAAAATCTGTTAAGTAAATCATTAAGTGATGACGTTGCAAATATGAGATCCATATTTGTGCTGAAATGGCTGCCACATTGTGCCACGTGGCAAAAAAATTAAATTTTTATGCATTATTTACCCTTTAAAATAAAAAATAAAAAAACAAAACAAACCCAGAACACCCATCTCCGTAACCCACTTCTCCATCTCTTCCCTCTTCACCTCCCATCCCTTCTCTCTCCCCTAAACCCACTCCTTCCTCTTCACCCCTAACCCACCTTTAGCTTCGAGGCCCCAGCTGAGACTTTCCAGAAGACGACGGTGTCAGAGATTACGACATCAAGCTAATCGCCGAATAGGTGTCAGAGATCATGAAAGGTTGGGTTGACCGGATTTTGGTACCAGTGAGGTGAGCTCTTCTGCTTCGAGCACTAGTCCTCCGACCCCCATATGTGCAACTACAACTATTTAGGGTTTTGGGTGCGGTGAGGGAATTGTGGAGGAGGTGGGGTGGGGGGTTGAAGGAAAGGTGGGGGTGAAGAGGAAGGAATGGGTTTAGGGATAGAGAAGGGATGGAAGGTGAAGAGGGAGGAGATGGAGAAGTGGGTCTTGGGGGTGGGGTGGGCGGAAGGGAAGGGTTCTGGGTTAGTTTTTTTTTTTTTAATAGGGTAAATAATATTATATTTTAAATGCATAATAAATTAATTTTTTTGCTACATAACACAAATGTGGCAGCCATATCAGCACAAATGTGGATTTCGTATTTGCTACGTCATCACTTAACGATTTACTTAACAAATTTTCTAACGGATGTATGAAATTGAAATAAATTGATAATTAAATGCATAAAATTGAAATGTTTTAAAGATGTTATAAGAAATTAAAATTGATTCCAAATCTAAGAGGATAAAATATAATTTACCCTAGAAAATTATATTATTGCGGTGGGGCTAAAGATCTTATCTAAAACGATGTTTTGTCCAACAAAATCTAGGGCCTCTTCTTTTCTGGGACCCTCCTATGATTTTCTGTCACCTACCCCTCTCTGTCTATATAACCTCCTGCCCGACTTCACCTCAAGCCCCCTCTCCCTCCCTCTCTCACACCCGTCAATATTTGGCCAATTAATCTACCTCCATTTTATTTTTTGTCAGTCAACAGTACATCTTGATTCTTTTGGTTATTTTTTTCCAATTGGTCCCAATAATTGTAATTGAACTGTAAGGGAAAACAAACCCCAACCCCGCCCCCGCGGCCGCCCCACCCACCCCCCCCCCCCCCCCCCCCCCCCCAAAGCTGGAAAAATGAAGGAGACTGGTAGAAAACAAGGTGCTTTGTCTCCATGCGCAGCATGCAAACTTCTGCGAAGGAGATGCGCTCAGGACTGTGTTTTTGCTCCTTATTTTCCAGCTGACGAGCCCCAGAAGTTTGCCAGTGTCCACAAGGTTTTTGGTGCTAGCAATGTCAACAAGATGCTACAGGTTCAACTCTCTCTATCTAGACGTACGTACGTGATTAGTTTGTGCAATATATACGTAGCATTATTCTTTATGGCTTCTGTGTCTTGCCAGATTCATGACATTTGGGAAAAATTCAATCTAAATCGTAGATTCAAATAAAAATTTGTTGTTAATGGGTCAAACCATTTTTTTATATAACTAAAAAGACACAACATAATATATCGAATTGTCTGGTAATATACGATTTATCTTATTTTGTATATTGAAGTTCTTTACAAAGAATATAGTAGACGGAATTACCGCTTTGGATAGGTAATAAACTTCTCACATAAACTAAAACTAAGGCAGTACTTACCTCAATCAGATATTTTTATGAAATTATTTCGAGAATGCTTTGAGGAACACCTTTAACTATGTTTGAGGTGAAGGATTTCCAAATCTTAAGGAATTGAGGTCAAAGCTATTAAGGAACTAATCATAAAATGTTAGATAAGGGAGATTCGAATTCCCCTCATGAGCATTACAAAGGCATATAAAAAAGATTTGTAAATTCCTACTTGAGAGTTATTTACAAAATTCACCTCACATGTCTTTCTCACGAAGGGCATTTCTTATCCCTTCTATCCACCAATTTTTGATCCATTCCTTAATAACTTAACCTCAATCTCTTGACAGTCAAAAATTCCTCACTCAAAATAATCAGTTCTCTTCTAGGCCGTCAACTCTAAAATAAATTAAAAAGTGACTTGAGAAGGACATTGCAACATGTCTTTTCTTGGTTAATTTCTTGTTTTGTCATCAGAACTATTGTAGCTAGCATGTAGGGTGAGTTGAGGGTTAAATTGTAGTACTAGATCCAAAAAGCATAAAATATACTGATATTATTAGTTTATCAGTTTTAGGAGGTAAACCAATGTTTGAGTTGTTGGCCATAGATTAACGAAGATTTGTAAGATCACAGCTGAAGGAGATGGCATGCATATATACCGGACCCGCATGTAAAGCACTTTTATTCTATCTCTTATTGATGTCTTATAATGATGAACCCCATACATTATAGGTAGCTATAGTAAGGGAAAGGGATTCTTTCCGGATTCTTTTTACCTAATTTTTCTTATCAAATAATTCAGACCCTTAAAATTTAATTCAACGGCTAAAGTTATTATAACTTTTAAAGTGAGCCTATGTTTTTAGCCGTTGAATCAAATTTTAAAAATCTGAATTGTTTGATGAGAAAAATTAAATGAACCTAACAAGTGGCAAGGAAAAAGCATGCAATGCAAGAAACAAAAAGGAAAAGTAATCATTCTAAAGAATTAAATTATCTCTAGAAAGTATTTGATAAGATGGCTAATTGATACCCCACTTGGAAAGTAAGGTCTTATGGAAAACGATACTCATCGGATCCCTTCTACTAAATCATTTTCATCAAATAATTCAGGTCTTTGAAATTTGATCCAACAGTTAAAGTTATTATAAATTTTAAAATGTGCCCTTATTTGTAACCGTTTGATCAAATTTTAAGGGCTCAAATTAATTGATGGGAATGATTTGATGGAAGGGATCTGGAGATGATTCATTTCTGGATCTTATGAAACAATTTTCTTCTTTCACTCCAACTATAAAAAGACCATTTCCTCAGCTCCTTAAGTAATTGATTTGCAGACGATATCTCCTAGAAATATTCGTATAGCTTCAAACTTAGAAATGTATTGTACCATTAGCCCTTTTCACGAACATCATTTATTTTTCTATTAAATTTAGGAGTGTATTAGAAACTTTATCTTAGATAACTAAAATGAATTTGAAAATGAAAAATGAGAAAGAAAAAAAAAACCTAAAAAAACCAGTTTTTTTTGTGTAAGAAAATTGAATGCATATGCATTTTTTTCATAGGTCAATATGTGATTGGTTGGTTGTTTAAGTCCAATCCACATTTCAATCTCCTACCAACTTTGAAATCGCATTGCCTAATATTTTAAGTTGCTAAAGTCCAACCATTTTCATTTTTTATTTTTTATAGTTCAAATTTCATTTTGCTTTTAAGATTTAGATATTAATTTATAAATTATCATTTGTTTTTCAATTTCTTCTAGTGGTTTTTTGAAGTTAAATTGAATTTCCTAATATACCCATAGATTTAACAAAAAACAAAGATGGCGTTAGTGAAAATAGCCAATAGTCAACACATTTTTAAATTGGATGACCAAAGAAACTAATATGAGTTCACTAAAATTTATGAACCATTGCTACAAATAAGCCTGTTTGTATATATATTGGTTCCATCCAAGGAAAAATCTATTATCTTGGTAGGATGAGTTGCTATTCATGCTATTACTTTATTTTGAATCTTTATCAAAGAATTTGATACTTTGTTACTATTTTAGGAAGAAAATATTCAAAAAAGCGAAAAGGATATGTTATTCCATTTCTTTCTTCCACCTTTACTCGGTTATAGTGGTTAAATACAGTTGAAAACCGCCGGTCGTTGATAAGAAAATTGATCATTCTTCTTCGAAAAGTAGTAATAAGCAACTGTTTCTCAAATTCATGAATCATTTGTATATGAAAGCAATTAAAAGGAAATTTTTTAATTGTAATTAGAATTTTGATTACTTCGTGATCAAGCAACAGAGAGCAGACACATGACGATAAAGGATAAATCTGTTGTCTGCGTAAGTATTCTGTTTGTCTTTTGTTTATTCTTTTCTTTATTTGGCTAAGTAAAAGCTATTAGATATTGTAATGTTTCAATAAAATTCAAAACATAAATATTACACAATCATAATGTCACGATGACATCTTATACTCGCGGCTTCTTTGAATGGCCATGGTCAAGTGCTCGTGGCCTCATGAAGGACCAAGAAGAATTGGTAATAAATACGTATGTCATAATATGTGTATGTCGCATGTACATACATATACAACTGAATTTAATGTGCTGATTCCATTGATAGATTGATTTAGATAAAACCTAGAAAAGAGCTATATAGTGATTTTTTTAATTATTTTAACATGCACATATTATAAATAATTACACTTTTGGTAATTTAAAAACAAGTTTATAGATAGGGGTAGATGTTTTCAGTACTAGATGGATGGTAATACTTCTGTTTTCTTGTGGGAATGCATGTATCTCACTCATTGCGAATGATGTATATTTATCGGTAAAATTTCATAATCAAAATCATTCATCAATTTCTTAATCTTCATTTGAAAATCATTCCTACGAAAAATCATTCGAATCAGAGGTCGTTTAGCCATTCAAATGTATAGAACAAATCGACAGTGTAGGTATCAAGTAACGTATTCATGATAAACTGTTCATTTATTTAATACATTTGGATGCCTAAATGTCCTCCAATTCGAATAATTTTTTCAAGGGATGATTTTCAAATAAAGATTAAGAAAATGAATGGTTCCAATTATGAAGTTGATACGGTGAAGATACGTTATTTGCAAATAATGAAATACGTACATTTTCCATGGAGAAACACAAGTATTGTCCTAGATGTGATGTATTATTTATATAATTAGAATACATGTTTATTGTGTGTGTGTTTTTTCAGCTATATGTTTGACGCCGCTTAACTTATTTCTTATTCCTTTTCCAATCAATGTCTCGCTTTATCGCAATATTTGATGTCAATCAGGGACATTGTCGAACAAAATCATACAAACCTTTTAGAGTGTGAAAATAGCTCACCCAAGAAGATCTTTCTTCTTTTCTTTTTCATTTTCTCAAGCGCTTGTCTACACAAATATTATTACTTCATAGAAGTGGCTAGGGGGCACTTGCGGCACAAGAAGGAAAAATAAAGGTTTGTAAGGGATAGGGCGCGGTAAAGGGGAGGAAATAGACCTAGACATTTAGAAAAGAAACTGATACCATGTAGAATTGAATTGAATTTGTAGATTTCATTCCCAGGATAAACTTCTTATATGTACATCTCAGGTGTTGGACTTCAAAGAATTAGGATTCCTTAGAGAATAGGAAAGCTGAATTTACATTTAATTACAATACATGTTGGACAAGGACTCTAGCTAGGGTTTTATTCTATCACATCTACTTTGCTAAGATTACATGAAGTTTCATTGACATCATTGATGGGCATACTTAGGAATTACCAGAGCACCAACGCAGTGATGCAGTGAGTTCCATGGTGTATGAAGCAAATGCAAGAGTCCGGGATCCAGTGTACGGTTGTGTTGGAGCAATATCATCTTTACAGCAACAAATCGACGCCCTCCAAACCCAATTGGCCATTGCACAAGCTGAGGTGGTGCACATGAGAATGGGCCAATTCCCTACTACCACTACTATTGCTTCAACGACTACTTGCTCACCAGACCAAAAGATGGCACCTGATAATTCTCATCATCATCGTAACCATCAAACGGCTACCACCAAGTCCTTTTTTTCTATGGACATAGTAGATCAGACCAATATGGGAGAGTCTTTGTGGTCATGCTAGCTCTACCTACCTTTATTTGCATGCATCTATGCCACTTTGATTAATTAATCTGTTTTGCTATAATATTCAATTAGCGTCCTGGGCTTGCTTCTGTCTGCCAGCTCCTTCTTTAGTTATACTACCTCTTTTTTCTCTTTTACTTTCTTTCATAGTGCATCTCTCTGTCCTTGACCAGGGATATGATGATGATTAATTAGTTAACCATATTGTAAATATGTCTAAACTTTGTAAGTATGAGTTCTACTTATAGTATTGTTAATATATATAGTGAAACTCTTGATGTGATGAATATTACTTTACTTTGTGTTATATATAAGATGTCATGTAGTATTACAATTCACTTGTGTTATTAAATGTCTATCATTTATCATGAACATAACTTAATATATAAATATGTATGTTATCAACACCTATATCATATATAATACGTGAATTATTATAACTTTAAGTGACGGTGTTACCCTAGAATTGGATTTTATTATGAGACTTGTTGGCTGCCTTTTTCAACAATATCATATATTTTATTTTATTTCATTCTAGGGGTTAAAATTTGCTGGTTAGTAATTAATTTATGACTGCAGATATATGCCAAGCATGCTTAACAAGTAACCATCTTAATTAAGCCATTGTAGCAACGGGGTAGTTTCACATCCTCTGTATACCTACAACTCATTAGTGCTAGCAATGAATATGATGACCTAGCTTGGACCCTTGTTTAATATTAGTAAGCAAGCATAAAACTGTATTTTCTGATGTGAGTTTGGTGTGTGTATGCGTAGTGTTGGTTTCCAGCTATTGCAGGAATCTTAATTTGTATCCCCACCTCATACAAATCAATTAACGAAGTATGAAATGACTAAATCTCTTTGTATCATTGGCCCCTACAGATGTCCCACTTTTAAATAATGTTTCAACTAAATTATGAAAGGAACATCACAACTTAATCTCCACATGAGAAAACAGTACTCAAATTAATATAGACGTGGAAGCAAAAATCTCGCACTATAGAAATCAAAGGAGAGATTCACTGTTTTTGAAACCAATGCGTAGTTCTAGTGGTGTCACTGAGTCATTAAATATTTGTCTCATGTTCAAAAATTATCCCAACTAATCAATAGATGTTTGTCATGTCGGACCATCTTTTTATGAGAGCACCTCTCATTGAAAAAGTTCATTAATGCATCACATTTGAGTATGAAAACTATCAGGTTCGGTGGATTACTGAACAGCAATATCAGGCTTGTTCTGGCCCAACTGTATTCATCAATCCATGTCCAAGTCCATTTAGCAGCTAGTTTTAACAATTGATCTCTTCGTCATTCGGATTTCCGAAGGATCCCCTCAACTGCTTGTATTTTAATGGACAAGCAAGCTTCCAATTAATCAGTTAAGTGGATCGGTCCAAAACAGAGAATAAACACAAACGTTAAATTTTAGGTAGGGTATTCCAACATCATTGTATTCAATTGTCATGCATCTAATTATGTTCATGAAAGAATAAGGGATAAAAACACCTTAGCTAGTTTGCATTTACAAATGTCTTGTACTCAAAATAACGGATTTGTTCAAGCAATATGGCATCATGTTATACATAATGTAAGGTTGTAAATGTGAGGGTGTTTCTCTACCCAAAGAGACAAACCACACCCGGTCAGTTTAAGAGACTTGATCTTTACAGTATCATATTAAGTAGAGAGTTGAACAAAAACACCCGTATGAAACGATCAAACCAACCAAATCAAACCAATCTCAGTGATTTTGCATTGGAAATTATTATTAGAAATATTATCAAACTACAACCGAACCACTACATGTTGGTTTGGTTTTGGTTTGACCTTTAGAAACCACCTAAACCGCTTATATTTATTTCATTTTTGGACTTGACATCTCCTTATTGGTTAATATCATTTACTATTTTATTTTATATCACACAATTGGAGAATATGACCTAGAAACTATACTGATTTACGTTTCGCATATTTCTTCAATATTGATCAATTCCATTTAATCCCTCCTCCTAAACCAACACTTTCTAAGAGTCCAAGAGGGTGTGCACTCATAGTTAGGCAAGTTGGGGGGATGTTGAGGGTGTTGGAAATTTTGAGTAGAAATTTTATTGTCCCACATTGGTCAGTTCCAAAAGGTTTCCTCAATTTATAAGGCTTTGTCCCTTATAGAAAGTGATTGGAGTGATAGACCTTGGAGACTAAAATTAGGCTCACCCTTGGGGTTGGGCTTTGGGGTGTACTAATTAATATATAATTAATTAATTATTTTCGGATTTAAATAATTATTTTTAATTAATTTCAAATTTAATTAATTAATTATTTTTTTTACCAACAGACTTCATCTGAAGTGTGAAAAAACGCAGAAAGAAAGCACCCCTCTGAGAAGATGTCTCCCAACAAATGCATATCTTCCTCGTACCTGTTACGAACAAGCATAATCATATTATATATACATCCATCTGCATGCCATTTAGAATACAAAAAAAATAATTCTTCTTCTATAATCCAAAACATCCTTACTGAGAGAACCACATAGAAATTCGCTAGAAGTCAAATTTTCCGATGCTGGAATTCTGACTTGATCGTTGAATCCTAGTGAAGCAGACGTCCGTAGAACTACAAGCATTGAGTAGGGACGAAATTTCTGTATCAAGGACATTGCGGTATGCAAGCCTCGATCTTCAATATTTCTGTTCAATATTATTTTGTTGTTCATACTTTGTTAATTTCCTATTCGCATTTATTATTTATTAGCATATATATTTTTATCACAGATTGTTGATATATATCCAACAGAGGGGACATAATAATGGAAAATATGTACTTAAGTTAAGACATCTTTGATAGACTTCACTATTTAAGAACGAAGTATAATGAGCATTTGTTGGCTTTATTTTTTAATCTATCAAGGTGCAACTTTTCTTTTTCTGTCTAGTGCTCGACTTTTGTTGTTACATTGATATAAATTGGGACATCACAATCATATCCTTATAAGAATCCACATCGACTAAACACAGTGAAATACATATATATATATATATATATGTGCTGTATTTCTATCATCATTTGGCCCCATAAATTCTGCATGAACTTGCGCTCCCCAAGTTCAGATTCTGTGTATTTTGATTACACACCAAAACTGGTCAACTACTATATTGTTCCTGCAATCCCATTGGACCTGATATCGCAGCTGCTGCAATTGTGGCCTCTTGCTAGTCTTGTGGGTCATCTATGGTGGCTATGTTGGCCATGATCACCGACTTATCTTTCTGGACAGTATTGAGTTTGAGCTAAGTCTGGACTTGATTCAGGAACCCCACTGCAATAGTTTATTGGCTTGAACCCACTAATATTACTCTTTAGCCTTCCCTCCCCTTCAAAGGGCAGAGGATTTTGATCAGTTTTCATGTAGTACTTGTTTTGGAGCAAGGCACATCTGTAGCGCATTAGTCATTAGTTTGAGGATTAACCAAAACTATACCAGCTCCATCAAATATATTTGTTATTCAATGCACAAGCTTTCCACCATAAAATATAAAGTTTTCCTACGTTGTGGTTAACTGCATATTTTTAAGTATGAATATGCGTCAATATATGGTCAATGTCGACCATTGGTTTTAGTACATATTCTGAATGTATGGTCGATATACATGATTGTTGTTATCAGCAAATTCAATTAACCCAGAATTGATTCATTTCCCGTAAGAATTTGAACTGCTATTATGAATACTTAGAGAAATCATGAATTTGTCACTGCGTTAAAACCCGAAGGAAAGTTGTATGATATTGAATGGGGTCACCTAATCAACATGATAACGTTTGCGTGACTTTGGGAGACTAGCTAGCTAGTGGTTTCTTACGATTGTAAGAATGCCTACTTGTGACGCCCCATTTTCCTTTTTTTACTTATCTCCATTCCTTTTTTGAGACAAAGAAGTGTGAACAAAGTAGCTCAAAAGACTCAATTTTTTTATCCTATTGCCTTTTATGTTCATGTTGACTTGTAAAATAAAAATAAAATAAAATAAAATAAAAAATAAAACTACCTAAAACTTGAATCTATACAACAAATTTCCAAAGGAGTTAGCCTTGCTTTCCTTCCTTTATTGACTTGGCCTGCCTTCAGATGCCAGGGCCAAGCAATTTATCCTTCGAGACAACTCATATCTAAACTAGAGAGAGAGGAACAAATTTTGTATAACATGTTAACATGCATATATCGACTCATTTATGAGACCAAAGAGTACAAAATCTTTCTACAAGATTCAAATTAACTTTTAAGAGGCAAAGGAGCAAGGTGGGAGTCAACACCAATTATCAGGGTTTTAATTAATAACATAAAATTAAAAGCCACAATATTGTGGTCCAATAGTATTTTTTTTTCAGTACTAATAAGTGAGAGATCTTAGATTCGATTCTTCTGAATGGCTTCAATACCAATTTTTTCTCCACCTCCTCAATATACTAATACATTTTTGTATAAAAAACAAACGAGAAGAAATAAATAAACTGACTACTTGCTTACATAACAGTTCAAGAATCCAAACGTTAGGATTGTTTGAAAACTATTTCATTTTTAGTTTTCGCTTATGTTTTGAGATATGAAAACGAAAATACAAGGGAGAAAGGAGGGACAAAGAAGGGTGGTGTTACGGAAGGAAAGATATAAAGAATGAATGAAATGTTGTAATATAATATATAGATGGCCCACATGAATAGTTTGTTACTTTGCATCCAACGAAAAATCAGATGGATTGTTATTCATATGAAGAAAAACGGATGGGTTACTATTCATGCACAATATTTCACTATTCATTTTAGGAAAGTTTGTAAAGTGAATAGTGTTGCTATAGTAATCTTTTGCCTATAAGATGAGAGCATACAGAGGAAGGAAAAAGTGAGAAGAAGAAGAAAGAGAGAAAAACATATAGAGGAAAGAAGGAGGAGTCATGGAGGAAAAGGAAGAGAAGGGGAAAGAAGGGAGATGCGGAATAAATTACCAATGAGCCAGGCTAGAGAGAAAAGAGAAAATAGTGAAAGTTGTTTTGTACACTTATTATTTCAGATAATGAAAGAAAGTACTACTGCTGCCCGAGGATGTAGGCACACTTGCCGAACCTCATAAATATTATGTCTTATTTACTTTATTCCACTGTACACATATTGTCGATTTTACAATACGTTATCAGCACGAGAAGCTCTTGTGTCGATAGAATACACAACGCCATAAATTCGATGAAGCACAACCTATCTCACATTTGTTGGCTGGAATCTCACAGAT